GATTATTTTCTTAGTCGTCTAGCCCGACCGGCATCACTGCTGGTCAGGTGCATCACGTCAGTACCGCTCTCTCTCGCGAGTACTAATAATAAATTGCTGAAATCTTGCGAAGTTGGCTACACCAAAAGACCGCCTTAGGTCACGCTACTGTCCCCAATTTCCGGTATTTTTCGCGGAGTGCCTGGACCTCGCCAATGCCGTGGACGGTGAATTTCAAAACTTGTGCCGCCGGAAATAACAATTGAGCAATTGACTGACTGGTGACGGCTAATGAGCAAGAAATAACCATTCCGGTATATAAAGTGAATAACGAATGCGAGAATACAACGATTGAATTAATACAGAAGAGGTCATAGAAACAGGTCAGGAAGGTCAATTAGTAAATTGGGCTAATTAGTATAATTAGTAACGCGAGCAAGTGAAACACTGTGGACAGTAAGATAGGGAAAAACATGTTACAGCAAAAATGCGGGCAGGGGGGTGTGTGAATCAGGGAGCCGGATGTTACCAGGGCAAAGCAACGTTCACAACATGCTTCAGCTGTTTACATAGGTCGGGTTTTGACCGTCGTATATAGGTAGCGCAAGTTAGGAGTTGTTCTTGCCCGAACAAGTACTCGTAAGGATGTTTTAGGGTCTACAGAATGGCCCGTATTCAATAGTGCTACTGAGCACTCGCGAAATTTATGGTTTCAATAAATTCTGCTGTACACGCACTTTTTAGTTATTGATAAACCTTAAGTCGCATAGTTGCTGTATGTCCGGGCTACCATTCTGCTGGCGAACCTCCCACCCAATAACATTACTGACAAAGACAAGGGAGACTGGGATAACTATTTCTGGCTTATTAGCCGTCATCAGTGAGCCATACCGAACCCGATATGTCGCAACGGCCGAAGATTGAACTGTAACCTTGTGACTAGAAGTCCGATGTTCTGACCACTGAACTTCGTGGTCATCGTCGGTTAAGATCGGGAATTGAGAAGAAGACAACTCGATTGCTGGGACAATACTTTTTTTCGACTGACGTTTCGTCATCCGTCGCGGATTCATCATCAGAGAAATTAGCATAAAACGGTAGCAGGAACCCGTTTCTGCCCTGACAGCAGCCGCGCAGTGACACGTGAACGTTGCCGATGAAGCCAAAGCACACTGGAGTGGCCATTTCTGGCTCATTAGCCATGATCAGCCAGTCATACTCAACCCTAGGTTGTGCCCCACTCGAGAATAGAAACTGCGACCTTTCGGTTAGTTGTCCAACGCTCTAAACATTCAACTACGAGGTCGTTGTATCGGTGGGGAATTTCAACAGTGTAAGTGGGGGATGCTTACCGATCGCATTGCTTAATACACTCGTCCTGTTTGCCCTGAGGTTTACTCATGCAGTCTGAGCCCCCCCCGCTCACCTGCTGACTTCTTCCCAAAACCACAATTTATGGTAGTCTCATTGACTGAGCACCTTCCCCCATAACTGGGATTTTCTGAATGCTAAAGTGG